ATGTCTGTGGCCAAGGTGTCCTGTGGCAATTTCAAGGTCAATGCTGTCTATGGTCTGATGGTTGCTCTCCTTATTGGTGTGTTTGACATCTGCTGTATTTCTGTGTCTTACACTATGATATTGAGAGCAGTAGTGAGCCTGTAATCTGCAGATGCTCGTCACAAAGCCTTTAGCACCTGTACATCCCACATATGTGCCATTGTGATCACTTATGTTCCAGCTTTTTTCACTTTTTTTGCCCACCGTTTTGGAGGACACAATATCCCCCACCACATTCACATCATTGTAGCCAACCTTTACCTGCTCCTACCTCCTACAATGAATCCTATTGTTTATGGAGTCAAGACCAAGCAGATCCGAGAAGGTGTGTTCAAGTTTTTACTTGGAGACAAGGTTGTCTTTACTCAAGACAAATGAATTGGAAAATAGACATATTGTTTAGTGGGTGGGGGGGATAAAAAAAAGTGACTAAAATGGTATTAAACACATGAGTCCCTCTAATACATAGATTCTCTGAAGGCTTTGCAAATATATACTATGAAACATTTCTCCTGTAAAGATCTGTCAAGGAAGAGAATGCAGAATAAAAAATTATATACCCATTCTTTACAAGTTTTATGTTTTACATAGGGTTTACAGACTCATGTCTAGTGAGAACTGGCAGGTAGTAAGATGACTGATGCAGATCTGGTGTCAAAGTTCTATTGTGTGAGAGAAGTGGAAGCTATGGGGAGTGAGGGGGAGCAAGGATGTGCTCTCTGTAAAGAACAAATTTACACAAATGAAGCATGTTATTGCCATGGGTAATAGGCCCAGTGTTGCAATATCCTCCAGTATTTTAAAGACAAGCTGGATTTAGATGTTTTCTCTCATCTAAAATTGGGTAAATCCAATTTTAATTATTGGATAAATGACTTAAAAATTTTTAACGTTTATTTTATTTATTTTTGAGACATAGAGAGACAGAGCACAAACAGGGGAGGATCAGAGAGAGGGAACACAGACCTGAACAGGCTCCAGGCCTGTCAAGACAGAGCCTGATCTAGGGCTCAACTCGCTGTGAGATCATGACCTGAGCCAAAGTCGGACACTTAACCGACTGAATCCCAGGCACCCCTGGATAAATGATTTTTTAAAAATACCCTATATTTTATTCAAGACATGTCTAGGAGTTATTTTTCCCCCATTTCAACAGTTCAACCTCCATTTAGGATGTGCTTATGATATATAATTTTGATCTTTCAGCAAAACAGACAAAAGCAATGAATTAATTGCTAGTGTGTGTTATAATTCATTCACTAATTCATTAATTTTTTTGAGAAACTTATTTAGGTCATATTATTTGCCATACCTTAGTTTTCATGAAGATGAGACCACCCCTTGCCTCAGGGTGCTCAGAAGCTAGGCTCTGGCCAAGGATGCACAAGAGGAATCGTAAGTGAAAGAAAGAAGAGGTGTGATAAAAATTTATGGAGTATGGAAAGAAGAAAAGTTGGTAGGGAAGAGTTGGGGGAAACATGAATTTTGTATTCAGATAGTCCCAAAATTTAAATCTTGTGTCTTAATTTCTAGTCATTAGACTTTAACAGGCTATTTTAATCTCTCTAAATTTCAGCTTCTATACTTTTTATTGATTGGGGGAAAAACATGCCACAAAGATTTATCTGTCTGGTTAAATGCTCTAATGTAAAAAACAAAAAACAAAAAACAAAAACAAAACTTTAGTATAATTTCTAATATATACTAACTACTTAATAAGTTATACTGAGATTGTTGTTATTATTATAACCTATGTGTTTCAACTCTGATTCCTTCTGAACATCGTAGTTTGAGGAGAAATCTTTCCAATTATATAGGCAGTAGAAAATCAATTTTATTTTATCTCCCAAACATGTCATCAAAATCAGCCAACAAGGTTTTCTGGATACCTTCTATGTGACTGACTCCATGTTATGCACCGAAAAATATAAATGAATACAAGAACACTAATGCATTTCTAGTCTAGTAGAAGACATAAAATGCAGTTGAATCATTATTTTAAAATGGTAACAAGGTCATTGTACAAAAACATTATTACAAAATTCATGAAATTTAATGCTTATCAATGGCCATTAGGGATGGTAGGTAAAGATTTTACAGAGAAGGCACTAGATGAGCTGAGTCTTGATATGTGTGTAAGTATTTTAAAAGAAAGAGTGGATGGGGATTATTATTTTTAAAAATGCAAAATAGTGAGGCTAAACAATCATCGCCATTCTGAGCCTAGAGATGTTTCACAGTGACGGGAGATAAACAAGAAAGAAGGAGGAGCAAAAGACTGGGTTGGAAAGGCAGATAGAGGCACCACCCGGAAGTGCCCTATGAGTTTCAGCATGATCTCAGTAGGCCAGCCGCTGCTCTTCAACTTTGAAAGATACTAAGTTCTTAGAATTGCCCTTGACCCGAAAGCAGTTACAGCCTCATTTGTCACTTGCCTGGACTCCTCAGATCTCCAACATAACCTCTGCCTCTTAAGCCTGTCTTGCTCTCTTTCTTCCTTCTCCAAAGTTCTTCTCTCATTCCTAGAAAGTCCATTTCTCAATTTCTACTCACTTCTTCAGCACCCCACAAGAGCTTCCCAGCATTTGAGTCATTCCAGCCAAGGGAAGATTCCTTATGTATTCCTCCTGAGTTACTTTCTGTCAAAGGGTTGACAGCTTGACCCCACAGAAAAATGGCTTTCAAGTAAATAGTAAGAATAGCAAGAAACATACCCAGCATTTATTTTCCACGTACTTTTCCAAGAATTGTATACATATTTGATCCTAAAAACAACTATCAGAATGATGCTGTTTTATGCCCAGTTTACAGATAAACAATCTGAGGCACAGAGAGGTTAAATGACTAAATGAAAGCCACATACCCAGTAAGAGACAGAGCATGGATTTAAACTCAGGCCATTTGGTTCCACAGTCTTTGATTGTAATGTCTATAATGTACTGTGTGGTTTCTCCAAGAGATCAAAAACTTAAGGGTTTGTGGCTCACTCTTTATGACTGGGATGGTGAAAAGTCCCGTGATGACCCTGCACTACCTCAAATGATTTATTTTATATTTTTTTGGACAAAATGACATACTAAAATACAGAGGCCTGACATCAGATTCTTCAAGGTGCCTCACAGGACAGTGTCATGAGCAAACATTATTATTGCCTCTTTTCTGGTTCACTCTGACAGATGACTGCTACAAAGAGCCTGAGGACAAATTTTTGCAAGTAAATACTTCACATTGAAACTTCTGGACTTGCTCCCACCATGAATGTAAATATCAATTCCTTGTTCCAATGGGACCAAATCAAAGATGACCCGAAGACCATATTTGCAAGTGTTGCCTAGTACCCCTGATTTTCTTTACCTTGCTCTCATTTTTTATACTGGTAGTTCTATTTTAAGATACATTTTTTAAAAATTTTTATTTATTTTTAAATATGAAATTTATTGTCAAAT